AGTTTGTGGAAGTGTTATCGGAAAGGATGGATGATGTTCACCATCAAGTGCGTACAAACTTGAAAACGTCTGCTGATTCGATGAAGTTAACTTATCATAAGAGATCTACAGAGGTCAACTTTGTACCAGGAGACAAGGTATGGTTGTATAATCCCAGGAAGACCAAAGAGAAGTCTCCTAAGTTGTCTTCTCCATGGGAAGGCCCATATGACATAGTGGATCGTCTCTCAGACGTGACTTTCCGGATCAAATGTGGTCGGCGAGGTAAGCCAAAAGTGGTGCATGCCAACAGGCTTTGGCGTTATCATGGTCCAGGACATTTCAGTTGGGACGAAGTGGAAAAAAGAACAAATGACGCTGCTGAAGACGTGCCACCTGAAGAAGCCACCGTCGAAGAAGAAACTCTACTCAGTTTGGAGAAGGGAAACGGTGAAGCTCTTGGTGATGTTACTAACACTGATGTGACTGTTACCGATGATGGGACATTTACTGATGAAGCAGATGAACCCCACATGAAGCAGAAGCCAATCAACAAAGTCTCTTAATTTTACGGGACGTATCTTCTTCCGTACTGGTCTCCGTCTCAATTGTAATTTTGTGTTTGTAATTCTGTACATTTTAATTAAGTAATTGTTATTGGTTTATTATATGTGGTTATTGTTCGGGACGAACAATATTAAGGAGGGGGCAGTGTTGCGTCAGCAGTCACATGACTACAGTGACGCAACGTTTCTAGAATTATAACTTTACGATACACTTATTTCAATATTCGCGTTAAAACAAACACTATAACGAACGAACGTTAACTTCAACAATACCCTGTGACTGCAGTTCAATTACTCACTGTCTACACACACATTACCTTACCGCGTCACGTTTTCCCCTCTTATATATACCAGCCTACCCTACTAGTAAATACTAGACCATTTGCCAAGATACGGGATAGTTCTAGAAACAAGAGAGCGTGAGAATTGTCACGTGATCTCGATGACGCAACAATACGTTTTAAAAGTAATAGAGACTGAAAAACTTGTTGTATAATATGACCAGGTGGTTTTAAAGTGATTATATTTTAAAAATTACTTGTTCTAGGGGAATTTCATTTCAGTGGAGACATTGAGAATCAATGTATTGTTCAGAAAAGTTTGGAAATGGTATTGAATGTTTTAAAAACTATTACAATCATTTTCAGTCAGCATATCAAACTTATCCCAAAAAAGAAGCTACTGGAAGCATCAGTTAGTCTGGAATGTAGACGGGCAATTAACTTGATTAATTGATAACTTATAAGCATTGGTTACATCTATTAATATTGCACAGAATAACTCATTAATTGAAGTTAATGTTTCAGATTATTAGTGTTTTTGATTATTCCAACTATCCAGTAATCAAAATATTGCCATTATGATTTTTCATTATTATTTTTGACTAATTCAAATTTGTTCAGCTTAATCTGTTAATGGCTCAACTCATGAAAATAATCAGCTAATCAAAATTAGGTTTTCCAACTACCCAAGTAATCAAAATGTTGCCATTATGGTTATTTCCTACTAAACTCAAAGCTACACAATGGGCTATCTGTGCTCTGCCTGCCGTGGGTATTGAACCAGATTTCTAGCTTCTCTTGTTTTTAGCCATCTCATGTGAGAATAATTTATTAGTTGAATGCAATTGATGAATGAGCATGGCGATTAATTAATTAGCAAATTACACTAATCATCTAGTACTAGTCTGGACAATGTTCATTGATCCTTGCAATATCCTGAACGTTGACACACAGTATCAAAATCACCAACCTCGTATTGTTGAAAGAAGATAAATAAATATACAGCAATGCTAAATTGCAAGGAAAGTGATTTATAAATATACATATATTTATACCTATTAGGTTTTTAAACATCCTTTGTTATGTCCAGTGTTTCCTAAATAAACCATATGATTAAATGTGCCTCAGATGAAATTTATTCCCTTAGAACAAGTAGTATTTTAAGATATATTTTTAAGTAATATGTTTTCTATATAATCACTCCATATATCTGTGAATTATAGTTAATAATACTGTGTTACTCGGATATTTGTTAGTCTATTTAAACATTTTTATCTTGGCTAACACAAACTTATAATAATTCAGGTTGTTTAAAGAACAAGTGTTTGTAACTCTTTTGATGCTGTGCTTGATGACCAGGTCAAATTACTAGCCCCATTGGTCAGATACCAGCACAAAGCTACCACCCTGGATTTGGACCCTATGATAGAACACCATCTCCAGGACCTGCCAGAAATTGTGAGGCCTACCCTCAACCAGGTGGACAAGGTCTTTTCAACTATGGTTATCAGGACTACCCTGCACAACCTCCCTCCCCTCCATCAGGGGCATCAGAGTCTCCTCCTCCTCACAGATCAATGGCCCAAAATCTCCATCCAGCTCAACCAGAATACAACCACAGACCACTAGGGTATGATGAACTCAGGAGCTCTATGCTAGCTCCATCTAGAGGAGGATACCAAGACAAATATGGTAAAATTCCTTTACCAATTCATTGTAGAAGAAAATGGTTTGGTGAAACTTTTCAATTGTTTGCTTAGTAAAAATTGGCCTTATGCAAAAATAGATATGCATGTAAATAGGTATGTAAATTAGATGCTTTACATATACATGGCTAATAAATGCTAAGTACACTGGTAACAAGGTTTGATATCATAAGTACAACTTTTTAGTGTTGAATAATTTAGTTGAAACATTTTCAGAGAAAGAGTGTGTTTCAGTTTTTAAAATATTTGTTTTTTACCATTCATTAATATTATTGTTATTGTTTTTAATATAATCATTGATTTTTATTAATGCTTTCATTAATTTTCAACTCTGCAAAGCTTCAAAAATAACTTCTTGTAAAATCTGCTTTATATCCACATAGCTAATTCGAATTAAATGTTTTATAAACAATTTTATTTGTTAAACGTTTTATTAAGTCATTTAACTATAAAATTAAAATGGAATAGAATTTTTGTTAAACATAATTAAAAAAAATTAGCATTATTATAGAATCATTGTTAAATGTAGTATTTCTTATTATAGAATCATTGTTAAATGTAGTATTTCTTATTATAGAATCATTGCTAAATGTTGTATTACTTATTATAGAATCATTGTTAAGCATAGTTAAATATTAGAGTATTATTTAATTAAATCTGGGCTACAACTAACATGTATTCAATATTTACATTTGTATTTGAAATTTAATGCCTATTATTTTGTGAATGGTTTAAATGTTTAAACTTTTTGAGCCTAGATTATAAAATAATCACATTTTCTAAATTAAAAGTAACAGAAATAATGGTATTTATGCAGCTTTTTGACTTATAAATTGATTTAGTTTATTAGGTAGCAATGCTCTTGATTTAACTTTTTAGTTTAGATAAAACTAACATGTTTTTGTAATCCTTCTCCAGGTTCCTATGGATACTCAGGAGCTCATTTAAATCCTACTTCACCGGGTTACACCTCCTATGAAACTGCTTCTCCACCCCAGGGGTACTTAGACAGAAGGCCTAGCTATGATGACCGACCTCCCTCACAAGGTACACCTAACCACCTTCCATGTCTCTACTCCACAGTGCCAAGGGCAGCGTTCCAAGAGGGGGAAGAAAAAAGTCTTCCACCTCAAGTGCATCATCCCCCTCCACATCAGCAGCCTCCAGTAGAGTATGAAACAGAAGGTAAAGTGATGATTTTTGTTTTGAAGGAAACTAATACACAAACAAAAAGAGTAGAAAAATACAAACATGGTATTGGTTTAATGAGATCATCTGTTTAAGGTGGAATCAGTAAATATGCAGGACCAATATTCAGCACTTTCATCCTTACTGGAAATATCTAAATTAGCTTATTTTTAGTTTTTACATCATATTAAAATTCTTACTTAACAAATGAAGTGTGCAAGAAAAGCCACATTTGTAGAGATATTTAGCTTGTATATATTCCCTGATAATATTTACTGACTTGACCTTAAAGTTTTATGATTCATTTTGAAAACAGATGTACGGTGGAGAGATCCAGATCTTCATGAAGTTATAGAATTTTTGGGCCATCCAAACAATGTGATACAAGCAAATGCTGCTGGTTATCTTCAACATCTTTGTTATAATGATGATCACATGAAACAGAAAACTAGGCAAGTATATCCCCATTACAGGAAATGTTATTAGAATTTAAATTAGATAATTAATATAAAATTATTTTAAACTTGGCCATTTAAATTAAATATAATGTTACGTCTCCGTTTTTAATTGATTTTCCGTAACTTCGTACCGACGAAACTTAAGCGACACAAGCCTTTACTTAATAAAACTGGTTTATTCTTTCCGAATATAACTTAACCGATACACTCAACAATCGCGCTAAACAAACGCTATAGCAACGAACGTCAATAATACTCCGACCGCAGATCAATTACTCACTATCTACTCACACATTACCCTTCCTTCTTTTATATACCAGCGTAACCTATTTCTAGTAAGAACTTGAACATTCGCCAAAGTACATGATATTCGGGAAGAATAAACCAGTTTTATTAAGTAAAGACTTGTGTCGCTTAAGTTTCGTCGGAACAAAGTTACGGAAAATCAATTAAAAAACGGAGACGTAACAATATTCTTAAAATGAACAATCCTACTTATCGAGTCTTATTTCAGCATTTCTGTAGTTATTGCTCTATTCTTAGTGCAAAGCTGCACGATGAAAGACCTGAACTATGTTCACCGCCGGGAATCGAACCCGGATTTTAGTATTGTATGTCCGTAAACTTACTGGTGATTCACCGGAAGACATTATTGTAGTTATTATTCCATTTGGTGGCACTGTCGTTTGCTGAACATTGCTGTGCGTTTTCACTTTGTCCTTCTGTTTTCGTAGGTAATGTGTATATCAGCATTTCTTTAACGCTGTTTCAACAGTATCTTCCTGTCTCTTAGAACAATGAACCTGTAGGTTCAACAATAATAGCAGGGTTATTTACGTATATATAAACACGCACATGCAACAATGTCTAAATATGTATGTATGTAGTTTCGTTATTCTTTTGTAACTGTTTTACCAAATATTTTAATTAAAACTTAGAAATGTCTTCATTATATTTATACCTTTATATGTAGGTTATTTCAAAAACTGTTTAGTATACATATAAATAGAAACAATAATGAGTAACATTGAAAATTTTCGTTCCGAACACCTATCATCACCAACAGTATTATAATGTATTTAAGATACATAAATAAACCTAGAAATATTTACTTCAAAGCGTAGATTTTGAGAAATATTCTTTATGTGCTTTCTTCTGCAGATTATAAATGTGCGACATACATTCTAACCATTACGGCAAGCCAAATACTGTATATAATTAGATGAATCACTGACATCTGAGCATTTTAAATGGAATAAGTATAAAACCAGTTCCCAAATATGCAGCTTTCTTTATTCTCTCTTAAAGCGGCGTGTCCTTTTGATCTTTAGCCATAGCAGAATATAGAAAATCCAGTGCGCACGCTCACCACCGCGGCAGCTTGTAGTGGTAGCACAGGGGGTGAGACTGGTATTGATTGTGTTGGAGAGGCCTGGCGCCGACTATTAGAAATGCCCAGGAACCAGCATTTAGATGAAGGAGTGTCCGATACGAGCAATGCCATGAAAGCTAGCGTCCGTCTCTAGATTTTGTAGCAGAATGTGCAGGACAATCGGATTCTCAGTGCAGGTAAATTATTTGTTTGCATTTAAAGTCTAACATAAAAACTAAAAAATAGGGAATGAAAATTACTGTGCCGACGTGCTTAGAAACTCAGGAGCAAGTGGCAGTAGATACAGCGCCAAAGATGATTATTAGGCTTAGCTTTATAATATCTTTATTCCCATTAAAATAAACCAGTAGGTAATTCGAAATACAGAAAGAAACGGAAGATTTCACGAGATGTATATGCAATTCTTGCGTTCGCATATTAATTCATCGAAATCCATTCATCAAGCTATATACTAACTTACCTATTTTTAAAACCAACAAGAAGCTGCACGAAATTTAAGATATTTAGTTTTTAACACTTTTTTTTTCTTTGCAAAATATATTTTTTTAACTTAAGAAATTTATGTTTTGGTTTATAAAATTAAATAACAGTTTTAAAAGTTTTTATCAAACAACAAGAATATTACAATAGTTATAAATTTTGCTTAAAATTAAAACTACGCTGTTTTGAAAAAAAAATTCTAGTAATTCACAAATGTTTTGTGTTTTTTTTATAAGTATAGAAGTAAATGTTGTTAGTGCCATGGGCGCTCACAGAAATATTTTCAAGGTGAGGGGCAAAACATGTGTGTAGGGGATCAGCTTTTATAGTGTAACTCAACAAATTAAAATGATATGTTATTTGTGCTTAAACGCAAACACAAATTTACAGTTTTAATAAAAATTACTAAAATATTTAGTTTAATTACGATGTTAAATTTACATCATAATGCGTGAAATTTGTTGTGACATGTAAGGGGGGCAAATGCCATAGTTGTAAAAATTATTAAGCATGCGAGAGCAATTGAATTTGAATATATATGCATATGCTGTCTGTCTGTTCAATCACTTATCCCGTTAAAGTAGTGTAGCATGATGATTAAATGCGGTGTGCAAGTTTATATTTGACATCTGGATGGTTGTGACGTGTATGAGAACAGATGTATACTAAATCAGTTTGATCAACTACGGTCATGAACATATCTGTATATATACAAAATGTTCTCTGTGGTGTCCTCTTTTCAAAGTACATAACAAAATACTGACCCTATTATCAATTTGTACCTAAAGATAAATAACATTAACTTAAAGTAATGCATGATGACGGATTCATCTTGTACAGACGTTAGAACTTGACAAATTTTAGTGAACACAAAGTTTTTTGTTTTGAATTTCGCGCAAAGCTACACGAGGGCTATCTGCGCTAGCCGTCCCTAATTTAGTAGTGTAAGACTAGAGGGAAGGCAGCTAGTCATCACCACCCACCGCCAATTCTTGGGCTACTCTTTTACCAATGAATAGTGGGATTGACCGTCAGCCCCCACGGCTGAAAGGGCGAGCATGTTTGGTGTGACGGGGATTCGAACCCGCGACCCCCAGATTGGGAGTCGAGGACCCTAACCACCTGGCCATGCCGGGCCCGACGTCTTACTGCGTCGTCATCAGTAAAATTATTAAGTAAAAGAATTATTTATTGTATTTTGAGACTGGGGACAGTCTCATTTTATATTAATTGTGTATTATTAAACGTTGACTTTATTTCTCTGATACATATGTGTGAATACTGATGTCATATCATTTTATGAAGTGTATCAAGAAATATTATTATAATAAACGAAACATTTTTTTTTGTTTTGTTTTTTATACAAAAGCATAAATCATAAGAAAAACGACTGGATGGAATCGGCCATCGCACATGTTCTCATGTATAGAGAAATTCTTAAAGAATTCGTTTATAAAAACAACTTCATCACCGAAAAAGTATTCGAAAAATGATTTTCAGACTATTAAGTCATCGAGTGTAAAAACCATATCAGTAATACACCAGGTATAAGGAAAAAAATTATAATTCTAGGAGCTGGTTGCCCCAGTGGTAGATAGAGTTTCGGAACCGATGAGTCAGGTTCGAATCTGTGTGATACCACCAAATGTTTCCACACTTTCAGCTATGGTTACCTTAGTAACTTTGCCATAAGTATAAATATTTATAATTTTTTTTTCTGTGATAAATGTATTAATAATACGGAACTCTAATGGAAAGACTCACTTTACAAACTTTCAGGAAAGTAAACTAAAACTTATACAAAGAAAGTTTCTTCTTAGTCTTCATTACTTCTGTCAGAGTTTTAAGTATGTAGGTTGGGATTTTTCTACAGTTGGTGTCTGTGACTTGTTGGCGATATATTTGAACAATAAACGGACAGCGCACAATCCACTTGTTTTAAAATATATTCAAAACAAGTCAAACATATGTACAAAATTTTTTATACTATAGGATATCATAATTGTATCTAAAACTTTAAATAATTATCTTTTCTTGTCAAAAGTCCACCAGGCTGATTCAATTACTGTAGAATCCAATTGACAAGAACTATTTTTCTCTACATTGTTTCTTACTGTACAGTCTGCGATACATTCACTTACGTTACTCCGTAGGTTACCACAGTTGTATCTCGAACTTTAAATAATTGTCTCCTTTTCGTCAAAGTCCACACAGACGGGTTCAATCACTTTAGAACACCCTTTGATAAGACAAATTATTCTCCTTATCACTATTAAACTGTGAAACTCACTTTAAAATATCGTTTGTTATGGCTAATCACTCACACGCCGGCTAACTTCACGTTTTCTAACATTTTTTTTTTTACTGAACTTTACTTGACTTGCGCTCGCTTAGTCGCCTATATTTATATACATTGTTCACTGAGGTCTCGAACTTTCTATAAACTACGCGAGCGACGCTATAATGTAAAAATATTCAGTTAAGCTAACGAGAAAAATACCGAAGATTCGAGTAACTTGGCGTCAACAATACTTCAACAATTGAAACACTCACACAACGTACAACTCTTACCGAGTTAGCAACTAAACTTGTCATAACTAAATTTTTAAAATAATTACTTTAACTCCCCTGTTAGGAAAAATAAATAATCATTAAATATTTAATCACCCATTAAATTAAATAATAACGCTTACACCAAAAAATCTTGAATATCCAACAACTGCATTATATGGGATCAGACCAGTAGTGCAAACAATTAGATGGTAAACCCGTCAGACAAACTCAGCCTGATTGGTTAAAGTTATTTCTATTCCACTTCGAACCTAATAATGATATAGATTATAAACCACGCATGACTCGCACATGGAGTTATTCATATAACTACTCTATTCACACCGGGTTCGCTATTGTGTTCAAAGTTTGTAAGCAGCTGCCTCCTGTGTCAGCTTGTCTGTATATTGAAGTATTTATCTACCTGTTTGTCTTTCTCTTTATTGCATATTTTTCTGCCTCTCTTTCCATCTCTTTAATCTTATCTGTTTAATATGCACCACGTGTTGTTTGAGTATGAAATAATTGAACATTGAAATCAATATACACATTATGCATTACACGGATTGTC